AATAACAACCAACGTTATCCTCCTACACCAGGATCGAACCACGTGACCTCGCGGGTACTAGCCGCGGTTCGGCAAATGCGTCTAGGACGTTTCACACTAAACCTAGTCGCCCTTAGCGTGCTTATGTTAGCTCCCACATCTGGCCAAGCAGAAAGGCAACTGAAGGGATGTCTATCCATCCACCAGACAACTTCATCATTCCTGGCAAACCACGCACGATCTAATGCAGCGAATTCCTTTCCCCAGAGTCTAGTAGCCGTCGCGCCAATCAATTGCGCACAGAAATTGCATCACTAGATCTGGAAATTAAGAAAAAGAGAAGAGCGGGACCGAATAGAAAGTAGAGTTTGATAGAATGTCAACAGTAACAGCGACGGCGCTGCAGAGCTCCAATCCGTGAGTTGATGTCCTGTTACTTGCATAGCTCCTAGCACCTAAGCAATAGCACACCCCCCTCGTGCTCTCTTCTTCTGAACTCTCTCATTGAAAATTACCAACTAATTCAAGCTTCTCCCAGGCCTATCCTCCCACAAGGGTTCTCCGCCAAACAACCACCCACCATCCGCCTCTACCCGCTCTCAAACTACACATTCGGCACCAAAGAGACGCAACCGGAAGAAGACCCGTCGGTTTTAGCGCGGCTAAAACGGCTGGAAGAGCACTATGAGAAGTATGGCATGCGGCGGACCTGCGAGGGCGTGCTGGTCTGCCATGAACATAACCATCCACACGTACTGATGCTGCAAATTGCCAATGCATTTTTCAAGTTGTGCGTATATATCCCTAACCATATGCAGATATGGAAGGTGCCTTGGAAATAGCCGATTGATATGCTGATATGCTCTGCAGACCAGGCGACTACCTGCACCACGATGACGACGAGGTGGAAGGGTTCAAAACGCGTTTGAACGAGCGCTTAGCTCCCGTTGGCTCACAGTTTAGTGGTGAGGGGGTAAATGACGATTGGGAAATCGGCGACACGCTGGCGCAGTGGTGGCGGCCGAATTTCGAGACGTTCATGTACCCATTCCTCCCCGGCCATGTGACACGGCCAAAGGAGTGCAAGAAGCTATATTTCATCCAGTTGCCGAAGAAGAGTATGTCCTGATATGTATATTTATGTTACATATATGTTACATATATGTATAGGTATACGGTATTAATAAGAAATCACAGAAGTTCTATCCGTCCCAAAAAACATGAAGCTACTTGCTGTACCCCTCTTTGAGCTGTACGATAACACGGCACGGTATGGACCCCAGCTCTCAGCGATCCCGCACCTGCTGTCACGATATAACTTTGAGTTTGTGGATGAGAATGATAATGTGGTTGCGGTGACGCCGGGGGAGCAGCCGGGCCCTGACAGCAGCGGGGGAATGCCACAGACGAAGGTGTTATTGAGCGGTGAGGATGGCGCGATGGGAGAAGATAATAAGAATGGCGTGGGGGACCAGGAGGGGGATACGGGGATGGAAGGTGTTGAGGGGCAGTAATGTATTTTATTATTTAATTTATTTTCATGCCCTTTTTATTTCTGTCTTTCTTTTAGGCAGTTATGGCGTTGAAAGATTCGGAAAAATGATAAACTAAACGCTGCGTCTATTGCATCTATCCTATTGCAATTTTCAGGATTGGATAGCAATGCTGTGTTTCATCAATGCTGGATGAATCTTTTTTATCTTCTTTTATCTCTTTGGTTTCAGTTCTCAGTGATTCACGTGGCGTTTTTGCCAGAATGGCTTCTGCTCTTACGAAGTTCGACACTCAGTTTGGTCGTTCAATTCCGCATTTCGAGGTCGATAACCTTGATAATCTGTCAAACTCCATCCACTCAACCCGCAAACGTCTGGCCGAACATACCAACATATGATGTAGGTATATGGAAGGTTTATTGACATACATGAACTCTGTAAAATCCTCGCAAATTAAATGGTTAGAGTAGATCAATAGTCAAGTTATGAGCCATGCCTCACTGCTTGAGGAATCCCACTAGGGCTTAACCTTCCAGATGTGGCAAGCGCAGAATGGTAAATAGCATCCAAGACAATCAATGAATCCTACGGGATTACCAGCAGAGAAATGGGTATTTCCTCAATTGCGATATTTCTATTCATACTAGTATAAGTATGAAACCTCACCAATGACGTCGGAAACATCCTCAGGGATAGAAGAATGGCAACAGAGACTGCCATTTATCAAGGCTCACAATGGCAAGAAACCTGGCATGGTATATTGGACCGGGAAATGCCACTGTGGGAGAGTGGCATATCAGATAAACAAAGAGAAGCCGCTTGATGCGAAATACTGCCATTGTACCGGATGTCAGGTTTTGCACGGTTGGTCCCGCGTTTCTTCTCCTATCCCCATATATTTAGTTGCTCGACCTATCTACTTGGCGAATCCGGCAACAAGATTTTATATATATTGAAAGTAGTAGTTGTATACGCCTGCAAAAGGTATAATCTCCCTGTTCAGATCCTTTTAACTAACGAATCAGTCTCAGGCGCCCCTTTCCAGTGGGCCGCTATCTTCCATAAATCGGACTTGGCCTTCACTCGCGGCCACCAGTGGCTGGATTTCTACAACCAGTCAGAGAAGCAACAAGCCCATCATCTACCGTGTAAGGTTTCATGCTCCTACTGCCATGCCCCGATCATAGATGAGGGGAGGAATATCTTATTGTTGTTTCCAGGTCTGATTGAACCCGAGAGTGGATTGGCGCAAGGGGGAAAGCGGACGGAAACAGTGAGGCAAGCTTTTGAGCCAAGGTATGTACAGTCCATATGTGTTTATGCAACGTACGCTATCC